AAATTGTTCTTATCAAAAACATCACATTCCACACAACACCTCAGCACAGAACAAATTTTAACCTCGAGCGAACCTGTTTGGTCCATTTTTAGTAACACAATTGTCAATTGTGTGCTAACCCAACCGTTTAAACATTAGGCCAAAATTAATGAGATTTGCTCGAATAAGTGCTGTAGGATTTTAAAGGTTATCTCTGATATATACATATATATTTCTACATTACATAGAAACCTTCTATGGGCCAAAGCCAGGAATTTAAGCTTTAGTTTTAGATTTTCAAGATGGCCTAAACATTGCGCTGTAGTAAGTCAAGCCTAACCACAGGCAGCCGAAGCTCCAGCTGTGAGATGATCATCTTGCACAATAACACAGTCATGGCGGAATTATATGAGCTTGTATGAGAATATTTACGACCGCTCTATGGAATACAACAATCAAATTCTCAATAAAAATACCTCACCTTACTTCCACAGCGTATCACTTGTGATCTGACCGCTTTCTTTGATGAAAAGAATCCATTTTAGCGAGTTGTCCATTTCGAGGTTTTCAACGTACATAAGAAAAGCCAAAGGCTGAACACTCCATTTTCGAACGCCCGATCCGAGAAGCGAAAAAATCCCAACGCAAAATGACCGGGCGGCCACAAATACAACGCAGAATCCAAGCACATATACTTCAGTTTCATTTCAATTCAATACAAACTCAATCTTCCCCGCGCATCGGACACTAAGCCACAGTTTCTTGGTATGAAGAAATTGTCGTAGCACCACGGGTGCCAAGTTACGGTGTGGTCCCCGGCGGGGCTCAGTTTAAAAAGGAGGCAGGGTTACCAAGCTGATTTTTAACGGTCGTGTGTCAAGGTTGACATGTGCGTGGGCTGCTAGAAACCTATGAACTGGAAATTTTTGAAGCAAACTGCGGCTTGGCGTCGGATCCAAGGGAAGGATTGAGTTTGTAGTGAATTTAAATGAACCATCTTGAGTAAACGCGAAGATCAATATCTATTCACTGATTTCTAATAGACCTACTAGAACATACGACAAGTAACAACGAATAAACAGCGAACATTTCGAATTGGGTACGAAAATCTTCGATTTCCTCGATAGTCGCCATGTTGTGACCTTACGTGGTTATCATTGAATCTGATAGATATACCAACTCAGGGCACCACGTTTCTCGCTAGAGCTATTGTGTTTCTTACTTTAGCCAATTTGTATAGCCATGGCTGTAAATATTTCTTTGCTGATACTTGGAAGGTCAAGCCTGAACTTTCTGCTTCCAAGCCGGCACCGGACGGAAGCCTTACTTGCTATTTCCTCGTTTTCCTCGGCATGGCACAAAAACCCTCGTTCACCGTTATATGTCTACCTCAATAAGGAACCTACAGAACTGTATTTAAAAGAGCTTGCATTACAGTCAGCTGTACATCTAAAAGAGGTGCCAGTTTCCAGTATTGTCGTTGCTTAGCCCAATCCTTGTCTTTCCTATGCATTCGACATGATGAGAAAAGTAAACTGAACGTACATAAACGTGATTCACAATAGTGCATCAATATTTGCTCCGACATATTTGTTTCGAAGGAACCTATAACCTTGCATGAGGATAAGGTTTTTCTACGCCTGTGAGGAGACTGAAGTAGTCGCTAAGTCACCACCAAAAATCAAATCAGTCAAATCTGAAGGGAAGGAAAGATCAACCGGAAAGACAGACAGACACGCGAAATATAGACAGATTATAACAATTAAACATCATTATTAAAGGGTTGCCACTTGACAGAAAATAAAAAAGTTTTCTGCCTTTTCTCCAAAGTTTTACTTGATAGTTGAGGAATTTTTCAATAAAACTGATGCCTGATATTTGCAGGTTAATTCCAACTTACTTTCCACAGATTGTCTATGCCCTCTGCATCTTCGGTGCCAACAGCTTCCATAACGTTCTTGCAATTCTTTCCCTGATTTTCAAGGAAAATTTAAATATTAATAAAATAGGATAATAGCCAAGATAAACTTTTCTCTTCTTGAATGCATCATAGGTTATAAATGCATACTGAATTTGATTGTGCAGCCATGCCAGCTATGTTATTAACAAATGTAGATATATTGTTAACTTATTAAAGTACCATTTAGACTTGTCCACTTTGTTTCTGTTTTTTCTGCCAGTCTGTTGTACTCATCATAAAACTTGAATTCCACCTGAATTCTCTCCATTTCTTTTGACAGAATGTCTGGGCAATCATTGTTGACAACAACCTCAACAACCTATATTGAGACAATAAATAACACAAAATTAATAAGTGTCTGTTTTCTCCTTGAAAAATTTCCAAAGGGTTTTCATGAGAAAATGGCATTTCTTTATATGATGCATGTGGGCTCACCTGATGGAATAGTAGCCCCATTATTCTTAAAAATAAATGTAAGGTATCCACCACAACAAACTCAAAAGGGAT